ATGGGAGAAGCTTATGAAAAAGAGAGGCTAGAACGTATAGAACAGAATAGGGCCTTACTAGCAAAACTTGGCCTTATTAATTTTAGCCTTTCACCTCCTAAACCTAAAAGACCACCTAGACGCCAACTTGACACAGAAGAATCTCAACAGGAAGAACATGTTCGAACACCTTCGCGTAAGAGTCCGAGAATACAACAAATGGTATGTTAATTGTTATAATCACAAAATCAAGTGAGGGTTTAAGTAAAATATAACTAATATAACTTTAATAGAAACCCAGGTATAATTTACGCGTCAAAAGTTATCAACCCATTTATGCTCCATCCACTTTACGACGTGTCGTTCGTGCTAAGGTTTCAAAAACCTCAAAGGTAAAGCTTAAAATAATAAAGAAGACCATGCATTATGGAAATTAATTATGTTTCTCGTAATTATATCACGTGATAAGACCAAATATAAAGTGTTAGGAAGAAATAATCAAGGACGTAGATTTTATGGCGGTAGAATCTATGATTCAGAAATAGGAACAACCTGTCATCAATGTAGACAAAAAACCATTGAGGAAAAAGTACAATGCACGGTAAGGTTGCGAAATACGATGGACTCAACAAAGATAACACGTATTCATATCTCGATTACTTTAAAGAATGTATTAGAAAACGGAATGCTCTGTAAAGTGATGATGGACGAACGATGTTTAATTGGAAGGTAATATTTATTGTATTTCCTTTTGAAAATATTCAACATAAAATTTATTTGTTTTTTATAAAGATATGGCGAAACGTTGGAAGAAGCACGAAGTTCTGGAGAATGGAATTGTCCGAAATGCCGAGGAGTCTGTAATTGCTCATTTTGTAGAAGAAAAAAAGGGCTCCCTGCAACAGGGATTTTGAAACACCTCGCTTTGGCAAAAGGATACAATTCAGTTATGGAGTATTTAGGCGATGCGTAGTATACGTATTTGTTAAATGAAGTATATCAGATATTTAACCATCATGTGTCACGTGATATTGGCTTTAAAATTTAAAAATAAAAATAAAATTGTGAATGTTTGATCAATTTTATCACACCGTTTTTCAATTTCCTTATTTGGAAGTATATTAAAACGAAGCAACTAAAATTAGGGTTAAGGTTAAGGTTAGGGTTCGGGGTTGGGTAGAAA